TGAATCATTCATTCAAGAGATTCGATCAAAAACGCTGATTCATCCTGTAATGAAACAAGTGACGTATTTATGAGTGAGTCATTGAATCATTAATTCATTCAAACCACTTTTTCATAATTTTAATATAAAAAATTTGTTTTAAATACATATATTAGATTATATATTAATGTTTAATTCAAATTAGGGCTGCAAAACAATGTTGTGATTAATCTATTCAAAATAAGTTTGTTTACGTACTGTGTATATTATGTATTTATATATGTACACGCACGTGCATGGGTATATATTAAGGAAAAATGTACATACAAATATTTGTAAAGTGTATATATATATATATATATATATATATGTGTGCACGGTACACACACATAGTATGTAAACAACTTTTATTTTGAATCGATTAATCGTTTTGCAGCCCTAATTCAAATTAAACACTTCTAAATAGACTCCAGAAATTAATTGTCACATTTATTTTAGTTCAGGATCGCGGGAGAATTGTGATCTCTATTTGAGACAACAAAAAAAGTGATTCTCTATTTATCCAGGTTTTTATTGTATTTGTTGTACTTGTATTTTAATTTTTTTTTGCCTTGAAAATAGCCTGAGATTCTGACATGGCGTTAAATAAATAATCTACTTCTACTACTGAAGGAATCCAGAGTGGTGCAGCTGTAAGTCACATGACCGCGCTCTCGCTGTGTTTGCAGTACATGGAGGAGCTGGCTGACGCGCTTCTGTACTGCCACGAGAAGAAGGTGATCCACAGAGACATCAAACCTGAGAACCTTCTGCTGGGATACAGAGGAGAGCTCAAGATCGCAGACTTCGGCTGGTCCGTCCACGCACCCTCCCTCAGGTAACCAACTCCCATAATGCACCAGGACCCTTCAGTTCTGTTCGTCTCGTTTTCCAGGACGAACATCTGAACATTCGTAAGTCAAGACTAGACGTGAACATGCGTGGTTTATTATCGCAGGCACTTCAAGAGGAATAATTCTAGTTTCCTTCCACGGTTTGAAACCAGGGTTAACTAAAAGAATTAAACAAGAAAACATTCCTGAAATAAAGTGTGTGTGTGTGTGTGTGTGTGTGTGTGTGTGTGTGTTTCAGACGGAGGACCATGTGTGGGACTCTGGACTATCTGCCGCCGGAGATGATCGAGGGTCACACTCACGATGAGAAGGTGGATCTGTGGTGCATCGGTGTGCTGTGCTACGAGTGTCTGGTGGGAAACCCTCCGTTCGAGACCGCCAGCCACACAGAGACATACAAGCGCATCACTAAGGTCTGTCTGCGTTAATCGCCGCCTCTGCTTTTTACTGAAATACCTCTGTGTTAGTGTGAACGAACCCTCGCTGTCTGTCAGCAGAAACACTTCAAAAGACATTGACTCTAGAGAGGAGTGTTTTGCTGAACGTTCACTACTTCAGACTTATGTGCCTCTAGAAGTTTGTGCTCTGCAAGTGAACGTCGCTGTTAGTGCGGTGTTCGGTACATTGATACGGTGATGTATCGATTCCGCTGTCCCTGTGTCGATATTGTGGACCGTGCTAACACTTCAAAAGACATTGACTCTAGAGAGGAGTGTTTTGCTGAACATTCACTACTTCAGACTTATGTGCCTCTAGAAGTTTGTGCTCTGCAAGTGAACGTCGCTGTTAGTGCGGTGTTCGGTACATTGATACGGTGATGTATCGATTCCGCTGTCCCTGTGTCGATATTGTGGACCGTGCTTAACACAAGAACACAGAGTAGAAAACTGCAAGGTTTCTAAAAAAATGAATAGAAAGCGTTCATTTAAATTGCACATAAAGGCAGTTTGTTTGTACAACTGTTTTTATTCCAGCGTTGATTTTATTTTATTAATGTAGCCAAAAAAAAAGGAAACTAAATTTAAGTCTTTTAATCTTGGTTTCACTAAAGTCGTTTTGGTCCATTATTAACCTGTTTAATCCCCCTTTTTTTTTCCAGATATGAAAATATCCAGATGTGTCATTAGTAACCCTTTAAAATTATTTATTATTATTATTACATTTTTATTTATTTTTTTTAAAGTGTGTGAGAAACAGTGTGTTTTATGGTCTGTCACAATTGTGACCGGTGGGATAATGCGTGTACTGAATTAACATATTTCTGCAGTCATTACATTTTTTATAGATGTCAGCCCAGCTATTATAAGCCGTTTCATCACATTCTAGGGTTACTGTTATGCATAATAACCCTTGTACAACACTGATAGGAATTCTGAGATCAAATACAACCATCAACGTATTTCAAAGTTGTTACTTTATTGTAACATGTATCATACAATTGTTATATTAGTGCTACCAGTATTGCAACACCAATATTGTAACTTGTTTGTAACATTTGAACTTTTTTTTTGTGCCGTTTTTATTGCAGCTTTCACTAACAACTGCAATTGAATTTTTATATATACAGGTGCGTCAAAAAATTAGAATATCGTAAAAAACTTTATTTTTTGTAACTCATTTCAAAAATTTGAAACTTTCATATGTTCTAGATTCATTACATGTAAAGTTGTTTTCATTTTGATGATTAGAGCTTACAGCTCATGAAAGTCAAAAAATCCAGTATCTCAAAATATTAGAATATTTCCTAAGATTAATCAAAAGAAGGATCTGCAAAACAGAAAAGCTCAAGTTCTTTAAAGTATGTTGATTTCTGCACTCAGTACTTGGTCGAGCTCCAGCATCAGTGAGGTGTGAATGGAAGCGATCGGCTCCGCTTCAGCTCGGATCCAGGGTTTCTCATCTTTCTCTTGAAAATATCCCATAGACTCCACATGGGCTTCAGGTCAGGCATGTTGGCTGGCCAATCAAGCACAGTAATATCATGGTCACTGTGGACAGGTGCTAAAGTCCTGCTGGAAAAGGAAATCAGCGTCTCCATAAAGCTTGTCAGCAGATGGAAGCATAAAGTGCTCCAAAATCTCCTGGTAGATGGCTGCATTGACTTTGGACTTGATCAAACACAATGGACCAACACCAGCAGACGTCACGGCACCCAAATCATCTCTGACTTCAGAAACTTCACACTGGACTTCAAGCAGCTTGGGTTCTGTGCCTCTCCAGTCTTCCTCCAGACGCCAGACCTTGATTTCCAAATGAAATGCCAATGTTCTGTTCATATTCATGTTGTTTTATAATCTATGAATGTCTGTATTATACTGAACTTATGAAATATAAACCGGTGCGTTTTAAGTATGTTTGGTGGCGTAGCTTTTTGATTTGCATGAAGTGATTGATTGTTAAAGTCCGCATGCATTCAGGCTTGATGTAGCTGTCTGTATCAATTTCTTTTGGAGAAACAGACTGGACTGGAAACATTAAACCGGTGCTAGTAATTAACTAGTAGTTTTTAAAGTTTGTGGCTGCTGCTGGAGTACTGACTAGCTCCTGGTTTGCTTTTAACTGCTGGTGAAATAACTTAAAGGGATATCTCACCCAATAATTAAAAGTCATTTATTCACTTTCATGTTGTTCCAAACCTGTCCAACACCAGATATTGTGATGAGTGCTGTGAGCCGAACAGCTGATGGTAGCCGTTGACTAACATGGGATTTTTATTTTATGTTTTTCGTGCTATGGAAGTCGATCCGAACAATTTAAGAGTTAGTAAACGACAGATTTTTCCTTCAGGCCCCACACAAGCTGTTATCCAACAAGCAAAAACTCTTCTGAAATGTTACTAACATATTTCTGCCTCAAACCACACTGGATCGCAGTCAGAAGTTATTACAGACAGTCGGTGGTGATTGATAGTAAAAGTGTTGTTCTCATCGAAGTTACTTGTAGCTATAATTTCTGTTACCCATATGCAATTATATTTCATGATGCATTTTATCAAAATAAATGACAAGTTCATAAGAAAATGAACTTTCAAGGCGTCCTGACGCGCGGCGGCTCAGCGGTAGCGTGGCCGAGCGGTCTAAGGCGCTGGATTAAGGCTCCAGTCTCTCCGGGGGCGTGGGTTCGAATCCCACCGCTGCCACATTTTTTTCATAACATCTAATTAAAATGAACACCATCGGATCCCAAACATGCCGTTCAGTAGTGATGGACACTTTTGAAGCACTGCTTCGTGATGCTTCGAAAACTGAGCGAATCATTTGTTCGAACCCGTGATGCACTGAGAGCGCCCCCCAGCGGCGGATTATTACCTGACACGCCCGCCCTGCAAATTAATAAAATGACACTTATTATACATGTACTTCATATCTGATGCTGTTAATTGCATATATTATAACGGGTTTGTAAAAGCTGTATTCAGGTGTTTTGGTCTGAGTTTCAGCTGCATTTACACAGTTTGGCCAGCAGGCGTCACCAGCGCTTCGCGAATCATTTTGCGAATCAAAGTTCACTACAGAATAGCTGTTGCTCGTTTTCATTTGTGTTAATTGTTACAATTATTATATTGTGTGAGTTGACACTAAATAAAGCATTAAAACACTTTTTTTCAGCTGCAGCGCGTCCTCAAGGTGGCGCTGAATTTCCGCGCGTTTCTTCTTCTTCTCCTGTTTCCTGTGCGCGGTGTAAACTTCCGGCCGGTTGTTTACTCTGACGCGCCGCGGCGGTTCGGTTGGTTCCGGAGGTTCTGCCGGTGTTCGTGTTCCGCGTGTGGCGATGGCGGCGCTTCACCCCGGAGACCCGCAGCTGGTGTCGGCGATCGTCAGTCACCTGAAGACGGAGGGTCTGTTCGATCAGCTCCGCAGGGACTGTCTGGCGGACGTGGATACAAAGGCAAAGCGCCACACATTCACCTCACAGCAGCAGCAGCGCAGCTCGCGTTTACCTGCAGCTTTACACCGCCGTAACACGGTGTTCTCCGAAGTTACTCGCGCTGTGATGTGTGTCGCTGTAATACCGTCTCAGAGCTAATCGTGTATTTACAGTTAATTGATTATTATGAGAATGTCGCGAGTAACCGCTCTTTTTTAAATTCGCGCACTTTTATAAGCTAAAGTCATTTATTTTACAGTCACGTTACCCGAGGCCGCTGATACTGAACCC